AGAAATGCTTATAAAAACCAAACCAATGTTTGAATACAGAACGGACCAAGTCCGAGAGCCGAAATAAGGGAGAACCACACGCAAGTGATCTAGAACAAATAAACCAAACACAAAATCATCGCTTTAGGAAACATGATCTGGAGGGATCTCATTCCTAACTTTGACTCTATTGTATATCAAGACAACTATTCTATAAAAAGGTTTCAGGTTCTATTTATTGAGATCATCGCTTTATTATGCCTTAGATCGTATATTTTTCAGATATTATCCTTGAGCAAGTTTTGACTTGTGCGTCGAAGATTTTCTGTCGGAACCCCCTCCCGTTGTCTTACAGGTCACCGGAGCTCGAATAAAAAGAAAATACACGGAGTAGGCATTCAACCTAGTTCAACATCAAAGTGACACAACAAATATGGTAAAATACTTTTATATCTAACATTTAAAACAATCGACTTTAAAAGGAAAAATAATAATTCTTATTTTTTAGAATATAAAAAGAGCGAATTTTTTTGGGTGAAATTGGGAAGTTACATCTTTATTATGTATAGATTCCATGATTAAAAAAAAAAAGTTTTACTTGTCAAGCAAATAATGATAGTCAACGGCGGAGCCCAATGAGGACCAGTGTGGGCCTAGGCCAACACTAGGAAAAAAAAAACCCTAGTACATGTATATTGCATACTAGTTTACTAGCACATAATATAAGCCTAACTAATTACTTAACTTAATATAACAATCTAATAAGCATTTGACATTGGGATGTAATTGAAAAACTTTAGGATAAATTTTGTACTCTTTTTGTAATCTAATAATCGGTTTGTACTTGAATTTTTGTACAAAAAAGAAAATCTAATACAAAGTTCATTTTCTTGATAGTTATTATATCCTAGTAGTCGGTCTGCAATTGAAGTTTTCAAAATTTTGTACAAAAAATAAAATCTAATAATTTAATAAGCATTTGACATATTATTAATCTAATCGCGGACGTACAGAGTGAAAGAAAAAAGAAATAAGGGAGAAAGAGGGGAAAGAGAGAGAGAGGAAGGATCTATCAATTTTTTATCCAATTGTTCGAGAATACGACTTGTAAAAAGTAAAAATCACTCTTCTTTAATTCGGTGGATGTAAAAACTGCTCTTCTTTATTTTTTAGGTATTGGTAAATATATTCTTTTGATTTAAAAATTGCAAATTCAAACAATTTTAGGTGTTTATAGCTCTTTAAAGTGTTATATGTCAAAATAAATAATTTTATTGATTGTAAATTTATAACATTATTTTTGTATATCAAACATTGAGAGATATTTTCAGAAAAGGCCACATCAACAAATTGTTTGTGAAAATGTCTCAAAAGGAGATACATTGAATCCAAATAGATTTGAAGGAGACCCCGGTATCACTGGTCAAAAAGAAAATACAACCAGAAGTTTAATAGTGATCGGGGAGTTTGATTCTTCTCAACTTCCCTCTGATCCCAAATTGAGAATTAAAGGTCCTCGTCAACCGTTTTATCATCATTTTCCCATAACGAAAGCCTCAACGTCATTAATAAAGACCAAAAGATTTATAGCTGGTTAATTTACTGGACACAAGTGGTTGGAGTATCCATTTCTACAAATATTGCGTATTGTCTCTATAGCTATCTTTTTAAACCAAATCAAGAGGGAAATTTTTGTTACAGAGAGATTTAGATCTTGGAACGAAAAATCGAGACTTGATGTTCGTTATAATATTTTAAATTTTTTCATTAAATAATTAGGCCCCCGTTCATAATATTTGCTACATCCGCCCCTGATGATAGTAACTAGGAATTATAGAAAATATATTGCTACAAGTTTTAGCTAGTTTATTAGTGATACACCATTTCTAACTAATCTATTAGACAAGTCTGCCTCACAAGATCTTTTCCGCTAACCTGAATTTTGTCATAATAACCAATCCGGACCAAATAAAATATCAATTGATTGCATTTGTAGCTATAACTGGCAACACGCTCCAAAACCCCATTCTTCATATTTTTGCCGCTTCCATCTACAAGACTACTACTAATTTCACTCCACAAATCCGTGGAATTTTAGCAGAGAATACCACTGCACGTTGTACTGTATGAACACAAATACTTGAAACCAAGCAGTAAAAGACCAGTTGGCAAGATGCTCAAAATTGTTAGGCATACCAACTCATGCAGGCAGTTCAAGCTTCACATTATTCTTCCAGCTGAAACGGTGAAATAACTAGTAAAAAAATAATTACTAAATTAGGATATGAATCGAGACCCTGGAGTGGGGTGGGAATTGTACCTTTGGAAGTAATAATAGAAGAAATCGGCATAAAGCAATGTCTGAATAAGCCCTGAAATCCAAGCTGCAGGGAAAGAACCAGAATGCAGATGTCATTGGTCGGGTTTACCTTCAATTCCACAAGTTCGATTTTAAAATTTAAAGTCAACAAGTTCCTTCTAAATCAAATATTCACATAGTACTCATCAAGAAAAAGGTGCCACAAACAGCTATCGTCCAAAGAAAACTTCAATATTTGCATAACAGCTTATCAAGAAAAAGATGGCCAAAACATTTATCTTCCAATAGCTGTAAATCCATGAGCACACACACACACACACACACAGGGAGGACATACTTATCCAGTGCACATAGTGTGGTTCAGTAAAGAAGCGGTAAATCCAATTCAAAATGTACAACGACCTGTATGCACTGCAAGGAAAACACAAAAACATGTCATCAGCCAATATCACGTCTACTAAATATAAAATCCACAGACATCACACAGTCAAAGCTCTAAAACAGTAGCTTTACGTCACTAAGATCATGATTTTGCTCATTTAGGTCCTGGACATAAGAAGCAAAAACCTTCACCTATAATTTATAATCATTTTGAACAAACAAAACCCCGCCCATTGAAGAGATTAATGTTTCTGATTTATTGACAACAAACTCAACTGTAAGACAGCAGATGACATGAAAGGAAGCTGATAAAAGAGCTTCACAAAGGTATCGAATTATCGGATCGTATGCAATGCAGAAAATCCTACAGCTGGAAACCATTCATGTCATTTCTAATCAACCAAGCATCTGAGCAAATAAAAAGTTAATGAAAGTAACATTATACCTTAACACAAATAGTAAGAGGTATAATAATAAATAAAAAGCAATCTCCACTACTTTTCCAACACTTTCATCCTAACAGTTTTGGAAGGCAGATCATTATCGACTGCTCAGGCCTCAGTTACTTCTAGAAATAAGTTTTTGATGGTTTGTGGCCCTATACATGTAACGACACTTCGAAACGAAAAAAAAAAGGAATAACAAGATATAATATTCATGCACCTAACACAAGTATAACATCAAACGATAGCCATAACCAAACCAAACATTAATTTATAATTCTAAGGAGAAATCATATAAAGCTACACAAATGATCTTCAGTACAAAGATGAAAATGTGGGAAGTCAGTTACCCTAGAAGAAAAACGTATTGCCCAGTCAAGTTGTCAATATTTCTCGTTCTCTGAAGCAGGACCAGCTGAGGAAGGATAGAAACGGCTTCCAAGTACAACGAAAATGTCCACATAACCTGGAAAATGACCGGAAGTTTCATCAGAACTCCCAAAAACATTTTTTCTCTTGTAAATTTTTCCCTTATAATTTAGTAGTTCTGTATTGCTGATCAAAATACCTCTTTGAAGGTAAACTTCTCGTTTATGACTAGGGATAATAGGAAGCAGGGAAGAACAAGGAAATAGTGGCGAAAATTGTCTTGGTCCTTGTCATAGGATCTTCGTACAATCTTGTGATGCCGAATATACCACACAATTGAGAAAGAGCTTCCCAAGAAAATTAATTTCATCAGCGTGTTGTAGAGTGAGATGTAGTCAGTGAAAAGATCTAAATAGCGAGTAGCAAAAACAAGGGCATAAAGTTCCTGAGTCTTCAGCGAAATGCCTGTAGACAATATATTTCCAACATTAACTAAAATGAGTTAGTGTCCTAGAAATAAGGCAGATCTCGAATCACATGTGAAGAATTAAAAATTAAGCATACGAGTCTGAAGCTGTCAAATGCACAGTTCTAAAAGAATTAGTATGTGAGATCGAAACCAATGAAATTGAATTTGGAAATATGCTTGTTATGGCAAATAAATCCATGGCTTGTAAGTTAAGATAATACACGAAGTGGTCGTGCATTACAAAAATCTTTTCACTCGAATAACGCCGGTAAATAAAACTATCCAAAGAGTGAGAATTCGCTCTGCCATGACATATGTGCAAAATACCACTTGTGCACACTTTCTTTAAGAAAAAAAAAAAAAAAAAAAAAAAAAATTCAATGAGCCATAAAATTCAAAATGTCATTGTAAGTAACCCAGGAATTAGTTTGTCAAACAATCCACAACATTCTGGTAACACTAACAGTATTTCAGTTATACAAAATCCCTGTCATGCACCAAAGTGCTTTCAAATTATTATGAACAGTAAAAATCCGACCGAACTAAATATATATTCCTTTACATCAGTGCTTAACCAGGACATGTTCATAGGTCTGTGATGCGCTATTCAGCTATATATTCTCTGAAAACTAAGAAACAAAAAGAACGAATATTCCAATGCTAATGGGAGTTCTCAGCACCACTTAATCAACCACACAAATTTCACTACAAGTAACATTATTCATAAGCTTATTGCCCGATGGATAAATAAGTTAAAATGCCACAGTCGTAACAGAAATCTGAAATCACTTCAATAAACTCAGGGTGAATACTAATATTACCATATTTTGCTTAGAGATCAAACATGATTGTTACAAATTATCCATTAATCAAACGCAATTTCAATAACATGAAACCGATAAAAAAAATTAATAATATCACCTCTGAGGAATATAGTATAGTGGCAAGTGGCAACAAATGTACAAGCATCATCATGAACGGAATGTGAGGCGACATACCAGCACAAGATTTGATTGTGTGAATCTTGAGAAGCAAAACAAGAACACTAGCCAAATGGGTCATATCCCCGGCTAGCCTGAATATATTCATCTTCTCTCTCTCTCTCTCTCAGTGTATCACTATCACTGTAAATGAAGCCCAAAAGAATTAGGAAATTGTATTTCGTAGCGAACACAGGGCAAGCAGACAGATCTGCGGTAGGAAATTCTTGTTTTATTTTGCCGTAAATTCAACAAAATGCTGTGAATTGTGATGGGCACAGTGCATTTGCCGCTGCGTGTCTGCTCCAATAGCATTCGGCCATGTCATAAGTGTTTTTTTTTTTTTTTTTTTNTTTCAATAAAAGTAGAAAAAGATAAAGGCTATGTTTGGTTATTCGTGGTTTGGACAAAAAAAGCTAGCGGTTTTGACCAATTAAAACTGCTAACAATTATGTTTGGTTACGTAGCTTATTAGCTTAAAAAGAAAAAAGAAGTAACTTATTAGCTTGGCGGGTTGGGGAAAAAAGCTAAAATCTGAAACGCCGAGAAGTGTTTGTTTATAAGATTTTTTCAAAAAATTTCCAACATTTTAATTCAACCACATTTTTAACTCAACTTTAACTCAACCTCATTATCATTAATATTATCAATATAAATAAATAATATCAATCAATCAATCATACACACTACATCAACCTTAATTTACTATTCATCCACTCACATTATTTTAACTAATTATCACTTCAAATCATCTCTCTAATACTTTTACATCAAATCAATTTTAATTATTTTATTTTAAATATTATTTTAATATATTCACTAACACCTAACCATACCACATTTTTCAAAATTAACCAAACTAAATCAAACCAAAAAATCTAAATAAAACAAAAAATTTCCATAAACAAACATGCTCTGCGTTTGTGAATAGCGTTTTGCATTCTTTAATTAGAGTATGCATTTTTTTTATTGGTTAATTGCTATTAAAACTTACCTAGACACTTACCTACATTGCTCACCAAATAATTTATTTTTTAAAATAGCACTGAAGTAAAAGTAACATGTTTGCATTACAAAAGCTAATTATTTTCAATTCAATTAGTATCAATTATTCAAATAAATAACAAACAAAAACGTAAAATTTGATTCATTATTGATAAATAATTATTTACCTTTTTTATTTTAAAGAGTGACTCTACATTTTATTTTAAAAATTTACAAAAAAAATATAAATTATTTGTGGTTATTATAAAATTAAAAACAGATTGTATTTATAAATAATTTAGTAACGGCTAATTTTCAAACAGTTAGTTTTACCAAATCATTTTTATTTCGTAATGACTTATTATTGGTTGTTTATATGACGTGAACTTATTTACTCGATTAAGAAATATTTTTATTTTGTTATTATTATATTTTTATTATATTTAAATATTAATTATTTATATTTCCTAAATAATTATAAGTTCAACATAAATTTAAAGGATAAAAAAGTATGTTGATGTCCTTTTAAGTAATTTTACATGTTAACAGCTAATTAAAATAGGTAATTTTACCAAACACTCTTTTACAAACCGCTAACACAATCAGCTGGTCAAAACAATTAACGCAATCCGCTACTCAAAACAGTTAATGCAATCTGCTAACACCTAACAACTAACCACTGATTACCAAACAAGGCCTTTGGCCTTATTTGATAATTAGCGGTTACCTAATAGCTGGTAGCTGGTTGTATTAGCTGTTTTCCAGCGGATTAAATTTGTTGTTTGGACTAGATGATTGTGTTAGCTGTTTATAAAAAATGGTTGGTAAAATTAACTGTTAACATGTAAAATTACTAATAAGAACATCATCACAATTTATAATTCTTATTTATGTTGAACTTATAACTAGTACGTAACCCGTGCGATGCACGGGCTGTATAATTTTGAAGAATAATATAATTTCACGTGCATTAGGATCGAAATCGAAATCATTAAAATACATAGAAACATTATCGAATCATAAAATGTTCGTGACTTCACAATCATATATTATTAAAAATCTTCTTCTACACAACATTATGAGTTTGATTATTTGTAACTCCTCATTATCACAAACTAATATTTTCAACCCCCTTCTATTAGTTATACGTGAAACAGCAACATATAATTGCCCGTGACTAAAAACGGGTTTTTCAGGAAAAAACCAACGTGCGATAAAGATACGGGTTTTTCAGGAAAAAACCAACGTGCGATAAAGATTGTCTCTGACTACGGGTTTTTCAGGAAAAAACCAACGTGCGATAAAGATTGTCTCTGACTCTTGTTTATGGTCATGGCATATGAAACCATAAGTGGGAGCTGCCGCCTTTGGAACTTAAATGGAATCCTAGTATCGGATGGAGTGATATTCATTCTACGAATCAAGACTTTCTCGTCAGCGTGATCTCCTGTCAATATCTTGCATTCGAGGACATGAGTAGAGAGTTTAGTCACAACCAATCGAGTCTCATAGAATGGTCCATATTGCGCAACAACATTACCGGAGTTCCTATCTTCAGGTGCTGACTCATGGTTGGGAGTACCAGAATACTTGATGCTATTCAAAAATTCTGGCGTGTGGAGATTTGTCAAGAAATCATTTGAGGAAGTCTTGATTTGAGTTGCACGAAGTAGAGAGAGACATATACGTAACCTTCAATTTCGTTGCTGTTAAAAAAAAATAAGACCTAGAATAAGACTATATATCGTTAGTGGTTATGATAAGATATATGTAACCTTCAATTTCAGATTACTTAGATGGACACTTAACCTTCAATTTTTGTTTCTTGTCATTATCCTATTACATTACATATATATCTGATAACCTAGATTTAATGCAACAGAATTCTTGAGATATTTTTTCCTTTTCAATTATACGTGTGAATAAAATTTTAAATATCTTTATATTATTTTTCTATTTCTATTTATTGGACCAGTAAATTGATTTATCAATATCAATCTCATGTGAATATATTAACCAATTTTGTTCAGCGCATTTCGTTTTTTTGTGAACTGAAAAAAATATTGATCATTTTATAATCAGTAGACTATTGTTTAATATGAAGATTTTGTATATGTCTGAATTTAATAGTGAATCCTAAATATATAAGATGAAGAAGTCTACCTACTATTCAAATATCTTGTTATTATTGGATTAGTTAGATATAGGATAAACCAAACAGATTCGAATTTCAATGTTAATTACGGGTTCAAATTGTGAGGTGCGAGTTTGAAGGTCAACATAGCTATTAAAGAGTCTGGTGAATCAAATACTTCTTTAGAATTTTTATTTGTAAAATAATCTTTATCTTTATCTTTATATTTCTAAAATAAATATATTTTAGGATAACTATTCAAAATCATACGGGATCAATATGTCATGTCCGAGTTTGAAGGCCAACATATCAATTAAAGAGTCTGGTGAATCAAATACTCTTTTAGAATTTTTATCTGTAAAATAATCATTATCTTTTTACATTTACTTTATTAGATTTCTCTAATTGTTTGGGTGTTCCTAAAATTTTTTTCACTAGATTTTTCAAATTGTTTGGATATTTATGCAACTTTGAAACTTTTTTGACTAGATTTCTCAAGTTGTTTGAATGTTTCTACAAACTTTGTCATATTGTTTTAGGAGATTATGTGATGAACATAGATATATGATAGTATATCTATGCCTGTTTAAAATTTAACTGGCAAAATTAGTTGTTAAGTTATACTAAGTATTAATTGGAATGAAAATCATATAGTTAAATATATCTCTTACATTATATCAATAAACTAAACATATTTATATGGGTTTGTATAAAAAAGTATCACGATTTGACTTTTTTTTTTCGAAATTGTGAGACTAAATATTATTTATCTGGATTTGAATAAAAAAGTAACGATTTTGATTAATTTTTTTCTTCTTGAAATTGTGAGATGTATAGAGAGTTGTTCATTTATTTGTTATTGTAATAATGAGTGGGACAATTAAGACTTTTAATTTTTTTTTATCTGAAATCGATAAGCCAATACGCTGCAAAAAGTGGCGTTTTTCATTTTGGAGGATTGGGCCAAAAACGCTACAAGAGCTCTTTACTAAACAGTGTTTTTAGCTGTTGTGTATGGTCAAACAGCTAAATAGCTGAAAAAGCCGTTTTAAAGCCAAAACGCTAATAAACAAACGCAACCATTGTCTTCACAATTTAACTCTTTCACCCTATAAAGTGCGAATGACATATGTTTGATATTCATCGTACAACTGTCGCATATTCATTGCATAATGCCTTTACACTTTTTAAGTAAAAACGTTGGGGGGTGATTGTTTATGAAATAGTTTGTCCAAAATAAATTATTTTGGTTAACCATGGTTAATTTTGAAAAAGGTAGTATGATTAGTTGTTAGTGGAATTTTAAGAATGTATTATAATAATATTTAAAATAAAATGATAAAAATTGATTTGATGTAAAAGTAGGAGATAAATGATTGTAAATGATTGGTAGTTAAAATTATGTGAGTGGATGAATAGTGAATTGAAGTTGATGTGATGTGTAAGAATGATTGGTTTGTATTATTTAATTATATGAATAATAATAAAGATAGTGGGATTAAGTTAAAGTTGAGTTAGATTTTAAGTATAAAATAAATGAGAATGAAATAATTCATAAACAATCAAGCCCTTAATTTAACAAGCGGTGTAAAATACTTAATACATTTTTATAGTAGGATGAAAATACTAGTTTCGCTCAATTTTTTCTCTCTCATCGTCATTAGTGAAACTTATGTTGATATAGGCCTCGTTTACTTCGCAGGATGAGATGGGATAATGTAAATTATCCCACTTATACACGCGTTTACTTTGCAAAATTGGGATGAGATTGATCCCATGTGGCATCAGTGTGGCATGTGGGGCCCACATACTGTCAGGAATTTGCTGATAAATCATCCCAGCCTCACCCTCAAATTTTTTTATCTCATTCGAAAATTTACCATTTTGTCCAAATTTATCTTGTTCTTCCTCTCTCTCTCTCTCTCTCTCTCTCTCTCTCTCTCTCC